GCCGTAACCCAAGGCTTTTGAGCTGGCAAATGCTGAAACTTGGGTGGCATGAGCGTGGCTCTGACAAAATACTGTCGTCTGTGCTGCGGTGGAATCTTATGCAGCTCTGAATAGTAGCGCTCCGCTGTGCCAGCCCAACGTGCAAAGGACTCACTTAGCCATTGAGCTCCGTCGGATGCGCACTGAAGTGCCAAAGAATCCTGCGCCAACTCTGGAGGACACGGCTTGGAGCTTGGACTGAACAGCTTCATGCAAAGAGTTCCACAATCGATCCTTGCTGTCAGGGTTCCATGCCCTCTGAATGCCTATATAAGAGAATCTGTCATGGTCTGACCCGGCGTCCTCCTCCACCTGAGGTTCCAGATCGTCGGGTACATCGGTATCCACCTCAGCCTCGTCCGCAAGGTCTGATTCTGGTTCCCTCCGAAACTCCAAATGCAGACATTGGAGAGCGGGAGGGCTCCTGATTCCAAGCTTCTTGCGGGGGCCCCGCGACGGAGGCGCCTCCTCAAACGTGCGTGGTGCCGCTTCGCGCTTAGCCTTGGCCTTGGCCTTGGCCTTCGATCGCTTGCTGTCGGGGTCGTGGTCCCGCTTGGGTCTGGACGGATGGTCAAAGGCCCGAGCCTCTGCGACACCTAGCCCTGAGCGATAACCACATCAAAATCTAACGTGATACTCAGTTCGTAATGCGCCTTCCCTGCTCCCTCAACTGCAGCAAAGTCAGCCTCGGTACATTTAGCAGGCAAGAGGTGGCGAGCACCGCGGTCGATGACAACAACATCCAGCGTGCGTCCTGCGCCCAACGTGCTCCCCATCGACCAAGTCAAGCTACCCTGACTTAGCCAACTGCTGGGGAGTGCAATTCCAATCTCCCCCCACAAGCCAAGGGCCTGCACTGTCTAAGACTAGCCCCGATATTTGATAACTTCCGCAAGTTGCCTTTGACGCAAATGGAACTGGTAAGATAGACTCCCATGATGAGAAGAGTCTGCCCGCGCGCACGAATTTGCATCCCAACAAAACCTTGGGGAAGGCTGCTCAACTCGTTCCAACTGCCCCAGACCAACCTGATCATGCGGAGAGGATGCCAGATGCCTCAAATACGCCGCCTCGTATCTCTTCCGAACTTCCATAGTGAGGCCCCCAGCCTTGGAGGTGGTTGCAGTCGTGTGAGTGGCCGACAGAACTCCAACACACCCAGCGTTCTTCCAACCAGTAAGAATCTTGTTAGAATCAGAGGGCAAACAGTGCGTCGCAGGAATGATAATTATATTTGCACGAAGCTGCTGGGCAATGGACTTCGAGGCAGGTCCCTAACCCCCAACATTCCGAACATGCAGGTCTGCTGGAGGAGCTCCGTCCGCAGGGGACTTGTTACCGCCCCCCTGAGCAGCTTCTCCCATGTGTCCCTGCGGGACAGGGCCACGGTTGCCCTGGCCGTCTGGCCCACTCCTCGGCGCGCCCGATCCTGCAGGGGTTCCCTCGATCGGGGCCCCAGCCGTCGTCGCGGAGCGAGACTCGCGCTCATTGCCAGGGGACGCACGCCGTTGGGAAGGATCCTGCTGCTGGGGATCGGGGCAGCTCCACTCTGTCGTCGCGATACGACCTCTCTCCATAGACTGTTCCACAGAGCACACTGAGGCCTCCGTAGTGGTCGATCTGGTACTGGTGCTCGACGGAGTGGGTTCGGCCCCTCGACCTTCATCATGCGATGGTCCACCGAGGTCGAGGGGGTCCTGCAGGCTAAAGACCCGACCGCTTCGCCGCCTCCTGGCGGGCACGGTCCAGCATAGCCTTGGCCTCCTCCTCCAGCTTGGCAGCAATGGCGGCGTCCATCTTCAGCATCTCAACCGCGTCGACATTGCCGCCAAAACTGGGCGCCGCTGCCGCCGCAGGCGCCTGAGCTGGGACCTGGGCTGGGCCCCCCGAGCCAGGCTGGCTCGACGACGCGATCCTTGGCTGCTAAGCGGGGCCTCAGGCACACGGGGTGCTGGTGCCTCTGCTTGCGATCCCCCTCCCAGCGCCAGGAGGTGGTGCAGTCTTCCTTTTCTTAGCATTCTTCTCACGAATCGCCGCCAACGACTCGCGGTGCTCCTTGATCTTCTCTTGAATATTGCCGAACGATGGCCTTCGTTCTGTCATGCAACGCTTTCTTGGCAGCAGCCTTGCGTCTCTCCGCCTCCTCGGCGTCCGCCTGGGTCATGACTCCGTCCGAATTGTCGAAACTAGCCCCCAGGTTGAGCGCGATCATGGACTCGTCCAGGTCGGCCGAGGTGAGCATCGCGCTCAGGTCGATGGTGGCCCCCCCCTTAGGCGAGCCTCCCGACTCGGCGACCTCCTTAGGAAGCATGGCCTTGAAAAGGGTGGCCCGCTCCTGCTCCGCCACGGCCTTGTTCTTCTCCATGTCCGCCGCGAGCTTGACATGGGCCTTCTGCGCCTTATCGAAGGCTGCTTGAGCACGCTGCACCTTCACCGACACTTTCGTGACCATCTGGATGCTGTGCGGCTTGGCCTGCCGAGCGGCCTCCACAGCCGAGGTGAGCCCCTACGGACACCACTCGTGAATATTTGTCCAGGATTGAGTCGGGTCTTTGTCCCAAAGTCTTCTCTCGGAGCGCGAAGGGTTTCCCAGAGGTCACGACACATTGTACTTCATATTTTAACGCCACGCGTTTTACCCATTCGAATTCCATTCCTTCCCTCTCTCCCTCCCTCCCTCCCTGCTTCCTTCATCTCTCTCCCTCTCTCTCTCTCTCTCCCTCCCTCCATTCCTCCGTTCCTCCTCTTCCCGAGGTTTGCCCGAAGTCATCACACACTCCGAGGTTTCGGGCCAGCGCGGCGCTGGCGCGCACCGCTCTGACCTCCGCCGCTCTCCGCTTTGTGCGCATCAGTGCCCGCGACCGCCCAGAGGAGCAGGAGCGCGCTCCCTGCCCGAGTCCACGTCGTGCCTCCTCCCTCCTGCCTCCTTCCCTCCCTCCTTCCCTCCCTCCCTCCCCCTCCGTCTCCCTGGCTGGGCCAAGCTGGAGCATCTCGGGGTAGCCTAACGCCCGGCAGCCATGCTAACGAGGCCGTGCCGCGGATTCCAAATAGGTCTGAAAGGATCTAACCAACCAACCTCTTTCCTTCTTCCCTCCCCCCCCTCCCCCCTCTCCCAATCGCCGAGGCCTTCAACCGTCATGCTGACGAGCTGGCAACAGCGGGAGCCCGCATGCACTTCCTACCACAGGATGTCATCGATGCGGCCAAATGGTGACATACGTTCGCGGCTATCCTTCACAGTACTGCGGTCGCGATCTATGACCGTCGTCACCACACACACACTTCTGCTGCCCGACAGGCGATCTGGGTGCTGGAGGTCAGAACCCCACTGGATGAAGCCCAACCCGCTCATTACTGGGGGCGGCGGGGATGAACCACCAGGCTCACCCGGTGACCCACTCCATTTCCGAAGCCCTCCAGGGCCAGGGTTCTACGACGAACTCGACGATCCATGGGACACCCTCCCCGACAATTTCGACGGCGACGAGGACCCACTCGGCCCATCGGGGTCCTTCGACAATGGCGAGGACGACGCTCCTCACCCACCTGATTGTCACGACAGCGACGGTCACGACGCGGACGACGATTGTCCCCCTCCACGTCCGAGCAGGCACATGACCAGTATGACCCAGGCGATGGGTGTCCACTAGGACCCGACCACGGGCACCCCTCTGCGACCCACGCAGGTCATCACAGGGGCGGGCCATACGGGCAGAAGTACAGCCGCTACCGTCTCCCCGACACAGGCAGCCACAGCTTAGGGCACAACGCGCCAGCAAAGCTATCGGTCTGGGAGAGGACCTGCGCATGGTAGGCGAGGAGTCGCGGACTGCGTCCATGGGGCCAGCTCGGTCGCCACAGCCCGCTGAGCTGGCTAATGCCGCCGCACATTTAGCCCCTTAACGCAATGCTTCCTGCCATCAGGCAAACACCCCGCCCCACCAGGGAACGGGGAACAAGGACCCTAATACCACCCACCAGGGTGTAGGCGCCCGAGCGGCACCAGTGCATCGTACCGATCGGATGCGTGCCTTCGCGCAACGCCTCACTACGGCCAGGTTTCAGCCTCATCAGGGTCGCGAAACCGCGCTAACCAGAAGTCTCACAGCGCTGCAACAGCGTGCCTCCAGCGTCGCTCTCACGCCGCGTAATCCCCAGGAACGGCCCAGACCCCTTCCCCACAGGTTCCAAAGAGCAGAATCCACTTCGAGCGAAGTCCAACAGGCCTTGTGTACGCCTGTTCTGCTTTCCCTAGGGCCATTTTCCATGGAACACCGCTAGCGCACCAGTGCTAGCCTCCTTCGTCAACCTTTCCGTGCCCTGCGATAACACCTGGCAACTTGTTCCGTAGGCCTGGCGCTGGGTCGCCGGGGGGCGGCCCCACGGCGGCGCCTTTTTTCTTAAGGCTCCGAGGTGCGCAGGCCAAAGCGCGCTTCAAGCCGGTGCCTCTCTTCTTCCGAGGGTGCAGAAAGGGGCGAGTCCCGCCCTTATCGCCACATCCCGCTTTTGCTTTACAATCGGGGTATCGTTTTGACTGCGCCAGGAGGGAGGTTTCTCTTTGCCACCAGGGCCATCTATATTCGGCACATACCGTCGAAAAAAAGGTGCGGGCAGAAGGTGCTTGCACCCTACGCCCGCGGACGGATTTCGGCCCGCCCTCATCGCTGCTCCTTCCCCCCCTTTCTCCCCTCTGTCTCCCTCCCTCCTCCCCTTTCCTCGCTCCCCACCCCCTCCCTTCCTCCCCCCCTCCCTCTTCTCTTCTTTCTCTTCCTCCTCCTCCCTTTCCTCCTCCCTCTCCTCCTCCTCCTCCTGTTCCTCCCCTCCCTCCGACCGTCGGGCCCAAGCGGGCTTGGCGCTCGCCCTCCTTCGTGGACAACCCGTCCGATCCAATCCCCCCTCCTCCCCTCTCCCGCCCCCCCCTCCTCTCCCCCATATCCTGCCCCCCCCCCCTGGCCTGCGAGGACCGAGGACACCAAGTCCCTGGCGGCCAGCGTGTGCGACAGCCGGCTGGACTCGCAGAAATATCTCCAGGATTGGGCCGCGGTAGAGCGGAGGGGAGGGGGGGGGTGGGAGAAGGGGGGTGTGAAAGGGGAGGAGGGGAGGGGGAGGAGGGGAAGATGCAGGGGAGGGGGGGGGACAAGTTAGGTGCGCTCGCGTCAACATCTGACATCCTACCCCTCCCTCCCATCCCTTACCATGGCGCTGATTTTCTCTATCCGCGGACGCGTGTCGTAGCGGCCCTGTGGCTCCGCGCGCGTGTGCGTAGTGGGTGGTGGTGCGCGTGCGTGCGTGCATGTGTGCGTGGTTGTGGTTGTTGTGGTGGTGGTGATGTGTATGTGTGTGTGTGTGTGTGTGTGTGTGCGCGTGTGCGCGTGTGCTGTGGTGCGACGTGGTGTGGCGTCTTGGCGGTTTGGTGGTGGGCCAGGTGCGTACGTGCGTGATGGCGGTGGTGGTGGTGGCGGTGGTGGTGTGTGTGTGTGTGTGTGTGTGTGTGTCTGTGTGTGTGTGAGAGAGAGTGAGT